AAGCCGGGGCGCGAGTCGCTCGCTGGAACCCGCGGCAGGCAGAGAGGCTTTTGTCAGCGTCCTCCTCTCCACCGCGTTCCTGCTCTCGCAGTACTGTCGAGACGGGAGCTGTCGGCCAGCTGATGCCTCACCTGGAACAGCTGAGGAGAGCGGTGGAGATCCTGCTGCCCTTCCGGCTCGTGTCCCGCCTTCCCCTGGCCTGGCGCTGTCCTTCGAGTCCCATTCTCCGGGACAAGACCCTAGGCTGCGGGGCCGGTCTGAGCTCACATGCCTTCAGACTGCCCTGCCTGTGAGCAGGCACGCTCCGGCCGTGCTGAGCGTGTCTTGTCGTGCTTTGTCGTGTGCGTCCACACACACAATGCTGGAGCTGCTCGCATGCTCCCTGCGGGCTGTGGGACTGTCGCCCACGTGAGACTGCGCCTGCAGGGGTCCGGGGCAGCCGCACCGGGTGAGCTCCACCAGCCCAGCGCGGGCCGCCAGCCGGTGCCCTGCCGGCCGGATCTGGTCTGCAGACATGGTCTGTTTGTCCCGGCAGTATCGGCCAGCACGTAAAAGTCAGATAGGTCACGCAGTCCTGGGCCTGCATGACACATGGCAGTAGTGCATCGCGGCCGAGCAGCAGCGGTCACCTTTGTCAGGGGCACATAGCCCTCCAGTCTGCTTCCACTCGAGCCCTGGCCCCTGTGGGTCTGTGACCTCTGCTTAGACATGTTTAAATGGCAGTACAAAACTCAGAACCATCTTGCAGACGAGCGAATACAGATGCAGAAGGTAAAACAGTGGTTACCAGGGACTGGGGAGGGGGTGAGGGGTTAGTACTTAACAGATACAGAGTTTCAGTTTGCAAGATGAAAAAGTTCTGGAGAGAGATAGTGGTGACGGTGGCACAACAGTGTGAATGTACTTACCACCACTAAGTTGTACACTCGGGTGTTTAAGATGGTGAATTTTGTTGTGTACTTTACCACAATTGCAAAAAAGGTTAAAAATTAAAAATGCTACCCCAGAAGACCCTCTTTTAAAAAAGAATTTCTTTTTTAGGCGCGCCCCCTGTGAACTTCAGGAGGGCCTTCCCAGCTAGCCCAATAAAGTAAACAAATAACATCAAGAGAACCAATTTAGGATTGCCAGCTTCTTACTTTTACCAAGTAAATTCTTTAAAATGCAATGCATGCAACAATTGCTATCTACAGTTACTATCAGTCCTTTTTAAAAAAAGATCGTAAAGGGCAGACTTTTATATTGAAATTGTTCAGCTTGATGAAAAACCTCACCAAAGTCCTTTTTGTTCTTGTTCAGATTTGAAGAAACTTTTGCCATGGCTCAGGACTGGTGGTCAGAGTTAGGTACTCTGGTCTGAAACATAGACGTCTGCCCTAATTACCAAATCAACACATCGGGTGATAATAAATAAGGGTTTGGAATGTACCCGTGTTCTTCACTTTCTATCTCTTTTATAACCTGGTAAATGGCATGTCCTGATGCATGTCTTGATACCTTGAATTCAGCTTTTTTCTTTTTTGAACCTAGCTTTTTAAACAGAGACAAAGCAGGCAGAAAAAGAGAAGGCAATGTAGTTTCTATGAGAACATCGTATTTAGACTGAAACTTAAGAAGAGAAAGCCCCTAAGGAGTTGAAGGAAGAGGGGGCAGTATAATAGGGAAGAAGTGAGGACTTTCTCTAAAGTTCCAAAACAGTTTAAATTGTTCTGGAAACACGTGATTGGAAGAAAATGATAGTAGCTTCCCTAGGGACTACAGGGGAAATCCCTGGGGCTCTTCTCCCTTCTGACTCCTGTTCACACTCCTTTGGCTTCTACAGTGAAGGTAAAGAAAAAGGATTCTTAGAGAGAGAGCCCAAGACTAGAAATGTCTTTATCTTCCCACGGAAAATCCTCCTCTAATAGATGAGAGAGAAAGGACTGAGATGCGGGCTACAACCTGCAGCCTAGGGGCCTGGGGAGCTTCCAACACCAGGGAAAGCTGGAGAACTGCCTCTAACACGCTGGGGGGTTTGCGCAGGTTCTGAAGAGAGGGTCAACTCTGTACCCCATAAATATGTGTAATCAATTATTTTCAATTAAAAAATTAAATAAACAAAATTCTGAACAAGGGGGAAAAAAATCAACAAATATTTATGGTGTAGATACTACGGCCAAACATTGTGGTAGATATGTTGAATTTTGGCTCTGTCCATAAGGAGTTTCTCATTTTTTCACAGAGAGATCTTGCAAATCTACCTATTGTAAAAGTGATTTCTAGTTTACTTTTTGTTGCTTTGACCCACCCATTCAACAGTTCCTAGTTTCATCTGGTTGTCACTTAACATGACAATGATAGTTAATACATATACTGAATGCAAACGTCCTAAGCATTTTACGTGTATTAACACATTTAATCCTCACACCAACTCTATGAAGTAGTTGCTGTTATTATTCCTATATTACAGATGGGGAAACTGAGCAACTGACTCAGGATGCAGCTATGACGCTGTGATCTGACCTCCCACGCCACAATCTTGCACGATAGAAAGCACGTACGGACTGTTCGGTCCATAGGAATTTGAAAGATCTGGTTTTCACCATTTTACTTTCCAAAATAGTTTCTAAAGCCCTATCATTGTAAAAAGTGTAAGCGTGTACTAAGTTCTATTTTTTATC